ACTCACTTAGAGAAATCACTCGATGCCAAGACCATGCCGCAAAGCGTTTGACCATCTGCAATTCTCACGTTTATTCATAATTCATATTCGGTTCATATCATCACGAACTTCTTCTCAAACAAAAAAAAAATCGTAATTTACAATTTGCTTCAGCAAGTAAGGCATAATACAATTCTTCCCTTAGAACCTATCGAATTAGGGGGACGTGCGATTCACGCGTAACCACATTAGAGCTCTTCGCGCACGCAGCATCTCTTCAGTACCCTTCTATTGAGATGGACCAAATAAGATTTGCAGTACTCACGGCTTCACCATGATGAACAAACCTCTTTACTATAGCAATGAAGCCCTTTCGTATTTAAGAATTCACTTCATAGGTCAACAATTTACTTGTCAAACGTTTAAAATAAGAAGAACTTCAAATTTTTTGTTCCTAGAAAACGCAGTCCTTCTGTAAACATGCATAGTTGGTCACTCATGTTTTATATAAGTTCTTATTTCTTCCATTATGGTGGTAGGCATGATGTTATAGCTCGTCTCGTTTGATGACCTTATTACGTTGACGCGTGAATCGCACCACACCCACCGAATTATTTAAATTTCAAAAACTCCCTTTCCTCGTGAAAATCGTAGATAGAAACAAACAAGAAGTTTCATAATCACTGTGGGCGTACAGCAAAACGCTAGTGTTAGTGGGAATCAGAACGACTTATCGAATAAATCGAGAACATTAGGTCGATCCAAAAGTCTTGAGACCCAAAGTTACATGTACCGTTGTTTCTCTTGGATACTTTGCCATCCACCACATTTAAACATCGGATTTGCAACCAACCTATTCAAATGAGTTCTCAAGCTCCTGTGAGCCATGTCGCAATTGTCGAAAGGTTAACGTGCAGCGATCGTTGTCTACGAAGGCTGTCACGGCTCCAGTACTCGTTCGACTTCCATCATAACTACATTTGGAGGAGACCTTATCGTGGCCTTCGTGCCACTATGAGTCTGTTGGTCCGCTTTCAGTTTGGAGACTCGACGCTCAACGACAACCCTCTTCCGTACGACCAATCCCTATCAATGATGACCGACTTCTCAGGGGAATAAATGACACAGAGGCTAGGGGCTGGAAATAGGTGGGCTCGCGTTGACAACCTCACGAACATGCTTACTGGATCAACCGACCGACGATCTCCGTCAAAGGAATATCTCGATCAATCATTCTATTCTTCTCACCTACAATCGAAGAAGTTTTTGCATGTCTTTTGAAGAAGGATGAGAGTTGGATTTTCAATGACAACAGCAAGGGGACCGCTAAGGAAGACAGAGTTGGTTTCCTATGACAACAGCGAGGGAATCGCTCTCCGGCCCAAAAGGAGAGATTTGTCCGTGCAGTTCAGTTTCAGATTTCGGTGGATTTCTTCTGGGAGTTGAAGAGGATGCTATGCTATGAGTTGTTGTCTTAGGATCAGACAGCCACGGCTACCACCTGCAGCAGCCGGTACCTAACCAATGCAAAGTAGAAAAGCAATCAAGAACCTTCTGCATGATCAAGCTCGATCTCACGTTGCAAAGACGACCACTCCAGGTTACAGGAATTTGACTGGAATAGATTCCCTCCTACTGCCTATTCCTCTAATTTCGCCCCTCTGGCTCCCATTTTTTCAGGTACAACCACCAGTTCCTAGCCAATGAGTTCGCCATTTTTGATGACCTTGAAAACGCTCTGATTAACTTCTTCCATCAACAGACCTATCCATTCAGGAAGAAGGAGATAATCGATATACCGCTCGCTGAATGAACGTCAGAGATAATAATGGTGATTTTCTACTTCAATAAGTGAAATTTGAAGTGACATTATGAGAAAATTCACAATGTGCATCCAAGTGTATCAAAACTTTTGCATCAAGTTGATTTGATGATGTATGAATCTTCCGCCACCTGCTTTTTTCAAAAAAGCATTACCAAATATTGAAAAGATTCTTATGTAATATATTCGATATTTCTTTCTATTCAAGAATCTCCTTCAAACAGGGTCTGCCCGTATTGAAGAACTTCTGGCCGGTTGTTGATGAGGCTGTGTGGCGTGACTTCAGGTAGCGGATAGGCTGCTTTCATAGTCCGCCGGCCGGTCCGCAAGCGAGCGAGCGAGCTAGCAGGCCGGGGGCGGCGCTTGTCCCTTGTTTACAACTGAATCTTGTTTGATACCGCCGGTCGAGTAGTCCCCGCGAGTAACCATAGGGAGTCTTATTTCCCCATGGCGGTTTTCATTCGCGTGCTCGCGAGCTGGGCGGCGGACTATGAAAGGAGCCATAGGAAGGTAAGCTGCACACTAAAAGTCACCGATTGGATATAGTCATTGATATAGTTACCGATTGGAAACGACAAGACGCAGGTGAATTCATGATCATATGGATTTCTAGTTACTGCAGTGTGATTCGATTCATACCTTCTGTTTTTCGCAGATGTATGCAGTAGCCTTCAAAAGTCTTCGACCGAATGCTTTAGTCGTACTTTTCAGTGATTACTCCTTCTTACTACATCTAGTCATGCGAAATTTCGATATCTGTAGCATGGATGAATTGTGAATATTTACCACTATTATCCTGCAATGTGGTCATGTTCCACATATCTCAAAGAGCTTGAACTTAAAATCAACTTGAAATACGGATGACGGTCCTTCCGGAATTTCTTTCTTTTTGCCATGTTATAAGTGTACAAGCGCTAAAGCCGGACTCAGTAGAGGAGAAAAACGCGTAAAAGGTGCGAATAACTGCAGACGTGACTAACTTTGTTTCAGCGAAGTCTGCTACCGCAACAGGCATCTTGCTCTTAGTTATGTGAATATTTGCAGTCAAATAGTGCCGGATGGTGTGAAATATGCTTTGGTTAAACATATCATAATTCCGCGCGATTTGCTCCACTATGAAAAAAGTCACGCCCGAAAAGGCGTAAAAACGTTTGAGCGAAGAACTGTACGTGAATGCGTGTGGGGTGAGTCTGTGAGTGTGGTTGATATCACACAGATCGGCTCAGCTAGAAGCTTGCATTCAAGTGATTGGTAGTAATCGAGAAGAAAATTTGGGGCCTTTCTCAATAAATAATACCCTTGTCCACTCGGCGATAACCTTCCTAGCTACCCGGGGTCTACCCCGCTTCACGTAAGGCCTGACAAGCTACTCGTGTGTACCCACATACTTAGAACAGTAATATTAATTAACCACATTCTCTTGAACATCAGTACGGTTAGGGAGTCCCCAATACGGTTGCCTTGGGTGGAACTGCTCAGTAGAAGCTGTATAAATCTCAGCTTCTGACAGGCTGCCTAAAAGGAGAAAGACCGCAAGATGTACCTCCAATGCATGAAGCTTGCATAAGACTGACCGAGATGAAAAGGCATCTCAAATCGCACGGTACACGAGAGGAACGACAGCACAGGAGTCAGCGTTGTGGATGTATTGTTTAGCACGCACACACACACCCGTGAACATCGATTCGAACGAATCCAGCTAGACAATCCGAATCTGAGTTTGCCATTGAAAAGTTGTGGTTCGGTTCCAACTCTAACAATGTTCGTTCTTNATGCACTAAAATAAAGGTACAAGGAGGAGCTTCTATATTCAACGGGAAAGGTTCTCCAAGAGACCACCACCACCACCAAGAGACCTTCCAGGTAGTCATCGATGATTGGGTCGTCAAGACTGGCCCAAAATGAGCTTCACATCAGGGCTCACGAAGCGGAATGTAGGGGCAAAAGACTGCCCGCTTCTAGATTATCACCCAGAAAATTCTCAGTACCAGAAGAACGTCATTTCGCGATGGACTACGGAGACACCTGGTAGGCAGTTCCATAATGAAGTAGATCACATCTTCAATAAGCGTTTTGCCTGTATGACGTCGCTATGGTTCTGAGTTCGGATCGGATCGACGCCCTTTTTGCGCTAGATCCTGCTTTTCAGTGAATGGAGAGAGTACTGCGATGTTCGGGGAACGAAATCTCAAGACCTTCATCAATTGTCACCACATTCTTTGGGAGTTTATGGAAAGTTCTATCAACGACAACATGGACGAGGAATTCATCCGGCTGGCAGGACATCTTTACGACAGGCTCGGAAAGTGGAGAGCCTACAAGGCCAAGAGACGCATAATTTGAAGGCTCTCGAGTTGATACGATAGCGTGGAATCAAGGGAGCTCTAGGCGATCACCAACTGACCTCCGAAATTGCATAGCTAAACAGAGAAGTGATAAAGGAAGATATAATAGAGAGAAGAGCTGAGTTCTGACCGACGCCGCCGAAACTGGGAAGAGCATTAGCTCACGAGAGCTTCGCCAGTTATAGGACCAATATGACCACCATTCGCCGTCCTGAGGACGCAGTTATGGCGTCTGGAAGGGCAATGAAGGAAGTCACCTACTTATATTCAGATCTCTTCGACCCACGACCTTGTGCAGCATGGATACGTCGTCTCTTAAGTTTTTCCTTCCAAAATTCGACATGCCATCAGCCTTCTGAAAGCACGTCGAATTTTGGAAGGAACTGTGCGGCGAACTGTACGGCGCCCCATCCTGGTAAGATCGAACCAGAACGTCTGAATAGCATTCCACCAGTTATTAGTAGAACTCTGACTAGGTTCTTCACGCCGTATCTCTCGGTGTTGCTCCCTATGCGTTGCGATAGTCACACCGCTATGTATATGAAATGGTACATTAGAGGCATGCAAGCACCTCAGCACAAGAAGAGGCGCATATAAATAAAGATTGTGAAGATTACAAAGAAGGATAGTGAAGTTGGTACGATACGATTGTGTGCAGTACTATCCCGGTAGAATAAAAAACTCTCACAGATTTTAAAGATTAAAGAGAGGGAGCTGTAGCAAATCAATGAACACGGCGTTTCAAAGGCCTATCATATCATACATGAAGAGAACCTTCAGAATTCCAATAAACCTCGTTACTAAAAAAATGAAGGAATAAAAATAAGCAAAACTTCAGGGATTTCACCCAAAACCTACTTGAGGATGCTCTTCTCATGTTCAACGCGGAACGAAATGACGTGCTCCTTGCGATCCGTCATGATTTGATTGCGGTGAGTCAGCTCAAATTGCGTGCCTCCACTTTCCATTTCTATTTCCTTCAGCTCGAACCCGTAAATGACGTACTGCTCACAGGGCTCGTCATCCTGAAACATCATCAGAACTACAAGGTGTCCCAAAAATACATCAATTCATGGCAATGTATTTAAAGCTTCTCATCTGAGAATGACAATGGAATTTATATGCAATATACGCCTGCTGAATCATGTGCTACAACATGCTCCAGACATATTTCAAAATATCCCTCATGACTGCGGGTAGTGGCCCAAAGTTTGCTATGGAACTCTTCGCACGCCGCATGCAGGTATCCTCCTTCATTTCTCTCAGCCGTTCTTGGGTCTAGCTTTCCGAGACTCCAAACTAGGAAGTTTTCACGAAAAGGACTATTTACTATTTACAAATAAAACGACCATGTTCCTGCCATAAACATAACTGCACACTGCAAAGTTGACAGGTCCTCTTCTATTTGGGGACCATGCAGATGAGACAAGTAGGTTAAGATCTAGAAAACAAGATGGCCATTCCTCTTTGATAAGGAAGTCGGGCAGCTAGCGTCAACAGCACTCACTAACCAGCTTGTCCCTGTGAGCTACCGTTTCGCTGGAAAAACTACGAGCAGTTTCGGGGAGCGGAGTCGGATTAGTGCTTTATTACGTCAAATGGTATGCTTTGAGTACAGGTTTTCGTCAATTTCCACGTCGGTACGAACGGAATCGGGGCGTTTTACCTTTGCCAGGGACTCCCTCAAAAGACATACTTTGCTGTCCTTATGGAATTTTCAGTGAGCGATTGCACGTTCGATGTTTACAGCCCGAATATAATCGTTTCATTTGTTGTAAATAGTTTTTTCGTGAGAATTTTCCAATCGAAGGGAAAGATGAAGAGTTGCATGTCTCCGCTCAAGTGAACCTGCACATCGAGGCAGCGCAGAAGTAAGAGTTAGGAAAGAAAAGGAAGCGAGGTTCAAAACCTGGTTACACTTCATCCGATGACCTAGAATCCTACATCTTAACTAAAAAAGTGAGAATCGCACAGAAAAGGAGGAAAACCACTGTGAATTGATTACGTCTTTGTTTAGAGGCCTTCCCTCATAACTGTTCAGAGTATCAAAGTACTATCTGGCGAAGAACTGGCTCCGAAACACAGACTCCTCCTAGCTAACATGGCATGGATAAGAATGGAGCGAAGCGATCGACGATAGAGGTTGCATCAAATCAAACAGGGGTAAGGGAGCTGGTCCCTTAGATCCCCAAGAACTGATACCGCAAACGTGGAGAAATACTGTGATCATTCCGTAGTGGGCAACAGTGCTGGAAAACCATTGGTCTGGATGTAGTTCTGGTTAAGGGATGGAAGCACGGTATTAGGTGGTTCACCCGGTTCATGAACACTATAATTGATGAACTAAGGTCAAAGGAGCCGAGCCGTCTAGAACTTCTAGAAGAACAAATCCATTCATCCAACAATACAACCTCCATTCTGTTCAGTAATGATTCGCCAGTTTCCTGAAAGTTGCATTATCCCACTTTCATAGAAGGTTCTAGTTTGGGACCGAAAAATCTTCTCATCCGCTTCCTGCAGTCCTCCAAAAGATTGAGCGATTTTCTATTCAAAGAATTCTTAGAAGCTCAACAATAGGCAGTCTGGCGGTACTCTCAAACAAAAGGTAGATTAAAATTCGAAGTCGAGTAGGTTAGTAGGATCAGCTGACCATACTATTCTGCTCTAGTCTAGGTTTGTGCCCCAATAGTAGGCGCCAGAGTCGTTCGAATCGCCACGAATGTATCTATACCCATATGAGGGGTGTGGTAAGACATCCCACCCAGGCTCCAGCAATTTTTGACGAATGGCCAAAAATGCGGTCCGTAGTTATCCAGGGTGTTCAGAAGTGGCGCCAACTTTTCGGACCACCCATTACGTGACCCTTTTCGATGCACCTATATGTCACGGGTATTAAAACTGGGGTCTGCCTCGAAAGAAAATATGTTATTTGTGAAATACTGCATCTATTGCATTTAATTTCATCTTAAGGTCACTGGAAGAGTCGAGGTCTAACAGCCTTTCGACCCGAATTTCCACAGCAAGCAGCAGCGATTTCGCGCCTAGAGTACCCCTCCACGAGGAATTCGAATCGCCACCTTCTAACACGCGTTCGTACAATGTATGCGGCGAGCACAGCACGCTGTTGGTGTAGAAGCACTCAGATACCTTTTTCGTTTTTGTTGCATGCTCAAGCCCGAGATTAAGCAGTCATACGGCAAAGTGATAAACGTATGAGTTTCTGTTTCACCCATTCAACAATTGAAGTGAGAAAGCTTTTGCGTTTCACGATTCTTTCAGATTTTGATTTGTAAGGCGAACATACCTACAGCTAGGAAACGTAAAGATACACATTCAGAAATAACGTCCAATAAAAACTTACGAAGGGAGCTTTGTAAAACTTGAGTACCATGCCATCAAGTAGCTGAGCATGTCGCACAATTTCGGCTCCTTTGGCATTCCTGAAAACTTTCAATGGAATATACAGAACTGAGGAATCATTGAGAGATGAGACGTCAGAAAAATTATGAAGTAGGACACCTAAGTTCTATGAAAAAATGGATTATGTAGTAAGGACTACAAAGATAAAAAAGAACTGGTTAAAAAGTCAGCTACTGCGGTGAGAGAAGAGAGGAACCTACTTCACCAGTACTTTCCCAAAAACGAGGCCGCTGTCTTGTACCATTCGCTTCTCGATATTCATACGCTTCAGTCCTCTGTTGATCGGTGGGAGGAAGAGACTTTGTGGCTCGACAACAACATATCTCTGCAGAGAACGACCAACGATAACGTCATTAAGCAATCTAGCTTTTTTGCAACCCCAAACTTTGCGGTGCATCTAGACAACCTTATCATGAACTCCTCCTCCTTTTGGGACTCTAATTCTGATCAGACCATCAGAACCTCGAAGCAATATGCTAGTTGGAAATAGAGTGCCGGCATTGTCTGAAATATTCCATTCGCCAAGGAGTGGCACCATAAGAGGTGCATGTATGTGTAGAAAAACACTTACACAAACATTCCAATCTGTCATAGCATTCCGGACACACGATTTCTTTTTTGAATTGAAACTTGGAAAGCGGGGCTTTTCCGACACACGCCGAGCAAATCAGCTGACAAATCAATGAGCTGTTTCGAATATTCAAAACAAAAACAAAGCACCCGATATGATACATACCCAGCCGCAATCGCGGCAATGGTGACGACGGTTCAAAAAGGAGAACACCGTATCACAGCCTTCCATCAGACACTTACTTGAAGAGTCATCCGGTATCCACAACGGCTTCATAGTATCGGACCGAATCACTTCTTCAAAATTTATTCCTCAGAAGCCCACATAGCAAAAAAATGTGAAAGTTAAAAAATCGAAAGCTCACTTCGCTTTGATGTCACAGGCACACTACAGGAAGGCCCAGGTTGGTCATCAACTGGAGTACTGGGGTGAGAGGAAGATTCTTGAGAGTCTGAGTTGCAGCGTGACCTGATAACAGGCATTTATTGAGAGAAATGCAAAGAAAAGTAGATCACTTAATTGGACATTCCAATCAATTTCCAGGATAACGGTGCCGTGAACAATCATTGCTCGTATATTTCATTAATCCCAGTTTTCTGCGCACTCCCTACATATAACAGCCACTAGGTTTCTAAAGTAAGCTCTTGAACGAATCGCATGGTAAAATGATTGCTCAAGGAACCCTATTACCTTCCTCTTCAGCGAAACATGAAGGGAATCGCTCAATGATATACTATTGCTAGCTTACACGTGGACTACACTTTTTGAGCCGCGTGGAACCGTGTAGGCCATATCTGGACTACGGTTGTTATTCTTCATAACATTAAGATAAAACTACTTCTCCTGTCTTTTCTCAAATCATTGAATCACAACCAAATCAAATAACGCTGACTACTAAAGACACCAGAAAATATTTAATTTTTGGAATTTTAAGTCCATACCACACCTGTGCCTCTTTGAAGGAACATACTGCATCGAATGAATTTTCCTTCAAGAGGATCTAGCGATTCGTCGATGCAAACGTTCTTGATGTACTTCTAGTACATCATACAATGTCTATTCAAAAACTTCAAGAAAAAGATGTTTTGTAAAGATTATCGACAAGATACAAATCCCCCAAAAGCTCCTCGAAACGATTCTGTACATAATTGAGATCGTGAGCTGTCGCCTGTGGAAAGAAAAGCGCGCTGGTCCCTTGCGTTTTCTCCAGAACGCGATTATCGTCAATGTGTTAACAAAGAAGCCGAATCGTAAATTTTACAGTGCTACTCATTACACCACCCCTAAGAAAGAAGCACTCCCGAAAAGACCAAAATAATGTGATGTATGAGACACTTCGCATTAAAATGAGATCCAACCGTGACAACTCTTGAGAGCTTGTTAAGAATTCAGAATTAGTGATTCAGCGTGGTAATTACGTGACTCTCACACCGCGATGAGCTTATATAGATGTTTCCGTACGAACTAGCTTGTAGAACGTTATCCCTTTTATTCGTTTTCCACTTCACTCCTCGATGCTGTCCTACCCAGTTTCGAAAGAACGTGTAAATTCAAACTAGTCCTTTCTTCACATGAAATAAGTGGCGATTCATTGGTGAATTAGATGTTTCATGCTCTTGTTACCACTGGTACTGTGAATGGCCCAATCGAGGGAGCTCGACTACTGGGAGGGGAAGTACTAATCAACAAAGAAAGGACCTGCAGAAAGGATGCACAATAGGCAGAACAGTATCGAGAAATGGGTACTCTCGATGTTTTGATTGATTTACGAGAACTTTGATCAATTCTAGATCACCTAAAAGGAATATGCAAAAAAAAAACAAGCTAGTAAAAGACTTCTAGAAGACACACTCATTTCAAACAAAAATCAGGCAAAACAAAAGTTGGACTAATGACACAAAGAAATACTGAAGAATAATTGAAATGAAAGAAATAAAGGTGTAGTCAGAACCGAAACCATACGTTACTCACGTCGTTAAGGGTGGAAGATTGTGAGAGATATCTCCATTTGTTGAAAGCCCGCTATCACTCACGACTGTCGCGTTGGTGTCAGTTAATGTGTCCTCCATTCCAACAGCTTCGCACAACGGTGCTTCCAACATCAAGGGGTTCTGAAATAAAGCGCGTCGTGAAAATTGTATTGAAAACACGTGCACACACTGCAGACCAAGCTTTGCCGTCTTTGTCGTTCTATGGCTTCGCTCATTCTTCTCTTATACTTTCGTTTTTCTTCTCTTGCAGTGTCAATGTCCTTTTGCCACAAGCTCCTCTCACGAGCACTGCTGAAACAATAAAAGGTGAAGAGTACACAAAATTCTACCATAGAACAGGTAAATGTAGCTGACGAAGATAGTGAATAAAAGACAGTAAAACAGTACCTCATTATAAGAATCAAGCTCTTGTATTTGCTTTTCACATAAAGCTGTTGCTCGTAGTCCTCATGAGAACTGCTCTCAGTGCGAACGGTCTCGATTGGTATGCGATAGGATCGACCCATGTCAAAAAGACCAGAGGAACCAAAGCCTGACATCACGCGGCAGATCCACAGAGTATCGGAAAACTGAAAGAATGACGTAATTGTCTGAAATGGGAATGATTTCATAAACCTAGTGACTTACTAGTACAAGATACCGCGGTTGTGGCTCCTTTCGCGTCTGCTTCAAGACTTCTCCTTGACGAATCAGTCGTCTACCGGGGTAAAATACGTCGAAGTGACACTGAAAGAAAAGCAAATTTGAACTTTCCATTGTGAGTGTATTTGAGGTCAAAAACTGAAGTAGGTTTCCAGTGCCACAAGACTGGGTGCTTTCAGGGTGCAACGACCGACCGACCGATACCACTGGAGCGTGATCCATCGGCGTTCACGATGGATCACACTCCAGTGTTATCCATCTTCGGTCGGTCGGTCGCTCCGTTGGTCGTTGCACTCTGAAAGCGCCCATTGGCGAGTTGTAGACGAAACTGTTAACTGTTTCCAGTGTGTTCAACGGAAAAGCAGCGAAAAAAAACAAGAGAAAGTAGTGATTCAACGTTGTGTTGCACCAGTGGACTTAGACAGCAGAGGTTCTTTTACAATCGTAATTCAAAAATAATATTGGAAGATGAGTCATTCTTCTCCCGATCTAAAAATCAGCTTTTAGAAAAAATACCTGGAAACGATCATATAGTTTGAACAGTTCCTCGTTGCTTGGCAGACCCATGGACTCGTTTACGGATTGCGCGATCTTTTCCAACTTAGCAATAGCCTCTGTAGTAGTGATAAAAAATTAATACATTATAATTCCTTGCAAAGTAGAAGAACCTCTTGAAACGAACCTAAAGTTTTCTTTTGTTCGTCACTACCCTCAACCAAATAGTTATTATAACTCATCATCAGGATTTTATATCTGAAATCGAGGTCAGATCGGGTAATTTTGACAAAAAAAAAACGCAATTGAATAAAAAGAACCTCATGAAATTTTGATGGATTTGATCTAATTGTTGTACGACGGCGCCGACACCTCGGTTGAAAATTTTTTGTTCGAACTGGAACAGGAACTATGAGAATAGAGTTTCAGAAGTATAAAAAAGCTTGTCAAGATAAGTACCGCAACAGTGGCATTATCAAAATCTTTGTTCTCCAGACGAAGCTGTGTCAGTTCCTGGACAAAACGAGACTTCTCGAGAAGAAAAGGCTTGCAAATTTTCAGGAAGTCGGCATACTTGATGATTATGTCGGCCATATTCGGATTCAAAGAACTCCTAAAGACGACTCTAATTCAGTGTAATTATGTTTCCAATCTCAAAATTGCACCTCATTACGAAGTGAGCCAAAAGCTACGCTGAGGCCGAGATAGCCACTACAAAACAAAAACTATTCGAATACTCGAAACAAGAAAGCGTAACACACCATCCATCGAGGCGTGAAGAGAACTCATCCAGAAGAAGTTGATGGAAACGAATGAGCTGTTCGAAGTGTAGCTGTAATTGCCGCACCACGTGCAGTTGAGTCCCTTGACGGGCTAGAAGATCCTTTCCAAGCCTTTTGCCAAACTCTGTTACGTATTCGGGATACACCTGACAACGAAGTCAAAGAACTCCAGAATGAAACAACAGTAAAATCACTGCACCACTAACCTCTCCCATATCCCGCAAATATTTCAGGAACACTTTTTGTACTGAGTAGAACTCATTCGCAGCATAGTGCAACTTCTTCAATCGTTTATCCTATAACGCAGGATAAGTGACTAAGAGAAGGCATAGAACCATGGCTTTACTGTTTACCTCAGCAACGTCACCGCTGTTATAGTCAGGAACAGATTCATACTCTGCGGAAGTGGTTGTTACGATACTGCTCCGGCTGCTGTGTGCGTTTTCTTTTTTGTTTGTTGAAAGAGTATCTTCAGTGAGCTGAATGGCGGCGATTTATTGACAATCGCTTCTTTTTTTATTCTTTGAACATGAAAGCAAAAAATATAGAATAGCGTACATACCGTTGTCGATACCGAAGTGTTACAGGACGGAGAACTCTCAGTCGGTTGCAAGGAATCGCGTCCTCGGCGAACATCCGTTGAAGACACATCTGACCGCTTTTTCATCACGCGATCACTCGACCTCCAAACAGAATTTGATTAAGCAGAAGGAGAGAAAGGAGACTAATACATCTAGATATGCTAACAAAAATTCCAATACTCACCTTATTATACCCTGCCTCTTTAATTCGTCTACTATCTTCTCATGGATGGAAGGGTCACCGTTAAAACAGAGAACTGAGGGCCTAGAATTATACTTCTATATTACGCCAGATTTCTAGCTGATCGCTAGATTACCACATAACATAAACCAAATAAGATTGGCAATATAAACTAAATTATATCGAGCTCACGAGCACCATTTGTCTCACACAAACGAGCCCTATTGGATTTTTTATGACATCTTTCCCAGTTTTGTTACTAGTGGTAAGCACCTTCGAGGCGAAATTTGTTCAGGAGCGCCGAGATACGGATCCGTTCTGTGTAAGAGATTAGTCCCATTCTGTCGACCATCTTCAGAATCGCTATCTGAGATGTCTGCAGACTCGCCATTTTCAGTACTCGTAGTTGAAACGGTAGATCTTGGCCTGAAGATTTCACGCAAATAGTCGGTAACAATAACCACAAAAAATGGAATATCTCACCTTTGAGCGTCACGCACGCGACGCGAATGAGCCTCGCTTTCCTGACCTTCACCAGTTGCATGGGATGGGAGAAATTGTGACGGTTTCAAGTTGACGAAAGGTGGAAATTCATTTTGAACATTATCACCATCGGACACGAGAATCGTGGGCCTCTTTAAATAAAGAAAAGTAAGCAACGATCAATTCTCACTAACAATAATGGATCAATATGTAACAATAAACTCAACAAACGGCTTCAAATGAGAACTACGCATGCTTAACAAGTCAGGTCCTAATCAAGTGTTATAATGGTACGTTTGAAGTGATTAAGGTTTTAGTGGATTCAGATTGGATAACTCTTATTCTAGTAGCAACCTTGCGGAGTTATGAATGATTTCCTGTAAAGGCAATCAGAGTATAAGTGCAGGAGTTCAAAAACACTTAGAATACTTCAGTAAAACAATCGTAATGCTTTCGTCTACAGATCGCTCAAAAAGACTTCGAATACAGTAAACAAGCTGACAAATCACATGAAAATCGTGACTCACTCGAAGGTTGCGGGAAATATGCTGCGGCTTGGGAGCAACTGGCGGCTTTGACGACCTGGTCGTGGGCAGCTGAACCTCCTCAGATTTTGACCTGTGAGGCGGTACCGGAGGAGGTTCGTTGTTTTGAGGAAGTGGGTAGATTGGTACCGCGTTCCCTGAAAAGGCCGTGAAAAAAGTACTTCATGGCTAGTATGCCATAAGCAGAATTCCTAAAAAATGCTAAAAATACACATGAACTACGTGCCACACGAACAGGGAGGAGACGAGTCAATCTACAACTTTTTAACTTGCGGTGCCCTGATAGGTAGAATTCACAAATGGCACAGCACGAATAGTGATCGCCGATGAGCTGGAGGATCACGAAAACGTAGAATACAAACCAGCATAACATGCGTAGTGATCACCTACATTGTAGAGTGGCGAAAGGGCGGGAAGGGGAATCTACAATTCCACTATGGGGATTACCTTCATAGACCTCAGAACAGCTCTTTATCTCACCCTCTGAGGCACGTTGTTTCAATACAGCCGTAAACACTAACCTGAAAGCACATGAGAAGCATCCTTCTGCAAAGAGGCGTTGATCTTCTCCTTGATTTGTTCGCGTAGCAAGCTTACACATACACCCTGAGCGCTTTTGTCTTCAGCCATACGCATCAGCTGGAATAATGGCGTGCTGTAAACTTCGTAATCTCAAGTCATTATTAAAAGATCCGCTCTAGCTGTGACATTATGAAGGAGACCGCATTGGGCCATCTCCTGAACAGTACCGTTGTCTTCGCTAACATTATTTGTAGCATTCAGCGCTTGCCTCTTTAAACCGCACTGAAGTTATCTCACAGTTCAAATGTCAATGAAGGAATGTCTACGTCCACACTCAGATTTACACTTTCTCATCACCCTTTTTAATTAGGACAAAACGCAGTTACGCGAAGCATCTCACAGACGCTATCAAGCACCGTGAACAGATGGGCAAGCTTAAGTCTCAGGATCGAGATATCAAGAAATTATTCATTGAGAGAGAAGAAAGCATAAATAAAATGCTAAATGTCAATATTAGAAGTATATCCCTAGGAATGCTTGGAAAAGAAGCTGGTCAAATCAGACATGGGCTACGTTGTTAAAACTTCTTTTAATTCTTTTCACTTATTTCAAAAGCGTCAAAAAAAGCGTAAACAAGTTTTACTTCGTAATTACCAATCCCAAGGGAGAAGTAGTAGCGGAAAGTTGGAAAATATTGAAAGTAAGAATAACCTAACCGCAACGATTTCAGGTTGAGTCACGAGGTAGAGGACAAGTAAAGGTAAGAACCTGAGTTTAGGACTTACATCGAATTCAAGCCTTAAACGATATAATCACATCACTCCGGTAGTAAGCGCGAAAAAATCAGCGTGGAAATGAAAGTCGTGCGATGTCATGGACTGATAAGCGATACGTATTAATCACTGTCGTGATTTGGGCCGAATCAACCCCTTTCATTTTGGAACGGTAAGACCACTCAACAGGAACTCGCCTTATCATTATGCTGAGGCTTTCATCTTCTTAGGTAATCCACCAGCAAATGAAAATACACATCATTATTCCCACTATTGTTTGACGCGAAGCTTCAACTCTCCCTGTGCAATGAACGAATATGCTAGAAGTATATGTTGGCTTCTTTAAAGCCATGCTATGTTTTAAAAATGTTTTTTCATGCTCGGCCTAAGCAAAGCAGAGGGGATTACTCAAGCCTGAAGGACCACGATCGTCGCTGTGGAACTGTCACTAACACATTAAAGTAACATCAAAGACTTCTCTTTTTGAGTTCTGTCGACTTCTATATTGCCTTTGCTTAGGATGCAACGAAAGATTCGCTTTAATTCTCCCCTCATAAAAAATGTAATGAACTAGTTAACCGCTGTCGGCAAGATCCCAGCTGCAAGCATCCAGTCACAGCCACAAGTTTCAGTCTACGAAGTGGCCGACACCACACACTGACAGGATATGAAGCTCACGATTATCGGTGGACATAAAGCTGTTACCTTCTGAAAATTTCTTTTTTGTGTACCCCGACCTTATATAATCTGTGCTACCGGTAATGAAATCTAGCCATAGCAGTTCTTTTTTTTCAGGGCAAAGTTATGCCAATCCTCATGTTCCAAGTGTGACCACTGCTTTAGGCAGAGCCTTGGAAAGCTGGCCAAGGGTTTGCTAGATGACAAGTAACCAGAGGTTGCTCCCTCATTACTTATCACCGTGAAGACTAAAGTAAACTTTTTGAGCGAGCGAATATATCTATAGTTCTTCTTTTAGTGACTCGAAAAACCTCAGTAACACCAATATATCTTAAGTGTAGGTAGGATGTTCAAGGGTCCTTCAAATAAAACAAAACACCAGTCAATACGGCGAGGCAATAATCCGCCGTATTGATTAACATCCCCACCGTTCAATTCTGTAGCCTTACTCTGTTACATCCTAAAAAATTTGACCTGTTATACATCCGGAGAAGTGTTCAAATACAAAAAAAAATGTTGTTCAAGGGGCGAAAAATCCGATTCAGTAATATGTGAAAAAACTGCCCCAGTCAAAAAGCACAGCTGACACCAAAAGCTTACATTGGACAGATCTGGAGCGAAAATTGAATCGAGTGCGCATTCATAGAATAAAAAGACGAACGGTATCCGTGTCGAGGACGAGCAGGAATGGGGCTGCACTGGGAATGAATCACCAGCCGTTATCGATCACCACGCACCTGAACAAGAACACAAGCAAACAATCGCACAGATCCGAGAACACTGCGCTTTCCTAACGATCAATTCATAAAGGAAAGCGGTATCAGAACTCCTATTACTCATGTTTATGAATACGCAGTGAATTTTAAAATTTAAACTGATCTACTACACGCACGGAACGAAAGATAGCCGTGAAAGAAGGTATCGGAACTAATATGTCACTATGTATATATGGACCTATAAGTCTAACTGTTGGACATCATATTTTCTTTAAGCGCTATAAGTGGCATTAGAATGATCGAAAAGATGTTCAGAGATGCTAAGAAATCGTGAACTCGCCACAGCGTGAATCAATACCAATTTGGGGATGACGTACACGCGAGAATGGCAATTTTAACTGCTCATCCTCCTGTGCCAAGGCGCGTGGGGAAATTCGCCGAATGTGACATCAAAACAATGTAGGCGAATACATTAGTAGAGCTAAAGGCGTCTGGACATTGGCATTAATCGATGTCCAGCCTTCCCGTCATAGTGGAGCCGGAAAGGAACTCGATTTCTCAGCATCTCTGACGCATCATTTGTCAGCCACTACTGTCATAGGCAGGAAATGAGAACACAAATGAGCGGCTCATGATTCGTAAACATTCAGATGGCCTGGTTGACTAAAGGAGGTAATACTTCTATACTGCGAGAGCTCATGTTTAACTAACAACTCTTTCCCAAAAAAGGAATGAACACATAGCAAAGAAATTAATTCGAGAGGGTCAATTCTATCCTCAAATGCACCGACCCACTTTTGCAAATATTTTAACCTGGCGAATCTCTGACACTGCATGCTCTCCTTTTATGCCAGATATATTACTCAACACTCCGAAACTTATTGTTCACATCCTTCTTGACATTTCGAAGTGCTCAGAGTTCACGAAAAGCTGTTATGAGTTCTGAGAGGCATGATTTTTCTCGACACCTTCATCTCCTTTCTTCATTGCTGTTTTGTACTCCTCGAACACTAAATCGCACCTTACCGTATTTCGCTCTTGGACAGCTAAGTTCTTTAGTTGAATGACTTTTGTAATGTAAGCGAAAGTTGGAACTTATCGCGTTAGCGTATCCAAAGAGGGCCTGACTTCTCTCTCTCACTTACAACCCTCCATGAGGCAGAGTTAAGATAGAACATTGATAAAGCCAGCTACAGTATTCTTCATACTGTAGACTGATTAAAATGGAACAACCTCTCTGCAACAAGCCATTTCTACAACATAAAATCATGAGCGTGACGCACCACATATGAAGTCGGAAATAACAACAAAAGCAAGGTAGATCAATCCGCAGTTAGTGCTCTCGTTCCAATTCCTTCAAAAATGTAGTGGTATGTATGTATAACCTCTTGGCAGATCTCATCCAGACCGTAATTTGAGAGGGTCAGCTAGTTTTCAAGGCATTGGTGGGAGAGAGACAGCTTGAACATGGAGTTTCCAAGAAGAGTTTGAAGTATGGGTAATGATGATGTATATAAATCGAAGGAGCGTGAACAAAGGAAATGTCAAGATCATGAAGAAAAAAAAATCCAAAGGCTGCTTTCAGACCTCAACGACTCATATGACCGTCTGTCCGTCCGTCCGACGCGGGCGTGCTGCGACGGCGGCGCCTGACCGTTGTTGACAACACTAGATCACGTTCCAGCGCTGTCAACACTACACTAGCGACCGCCATCGCAGCACGCAC